GCTTCATGATCTGCACTAAAAACAAAATGGGTTGTGGAACAAATAATACCAAAAATGCAAATAGTTTCTTTCAGAGATGGCATTATCAGTGACAGAGATTCATTATGTCTATACAGAGAAGTTAATGCCTAAATAAATAATGGAATATTCTATACTTTTATATTCAGTGATGGGCTGCAACCGCACTTTTCCCGCTTATGCAGGCTTTGTGCGCACCTAACGTGCTTGTGCATAGCGTTCAAACTACAGCAATTTGAAGCTCAGCTGCTTACCTTCTAAGGTAGCCCTGGTAAGTAGAACAGCAGAGGCGCAGAAATCAGCTGTGCTGCGTGAATCAGCTGAGCCAGAACGAAAGAAATATAGGACAGGATAGGGCAGGTGCGGGTGGGCGGGGCCAGCTGATCATCAGAACTACCGGTTCACTCGAACTGGTCCAAACCGGCAGCAGCCCACCACTGCTTATATTTCTGAGACTACTATTGTGAACTTGTGAACATCTTTTTTTCTTGTGACATTCAGATATAAGTTTATTGTTCTATTTGGTGCTTTGGTAAAGAACTAATAAAAGGTTATAAAAAGAATATTTTTATCAACTAAGGAGCCATAATAGCTTAGCTTGTTTTCTGATTTTAGGAAGAGAAGGAAAATAATAGAGACCCTTAGATGTCTCCTGTCCTGTCACAAACTTTCAACGCTTCAGTGTTTACCAGGTGATGTAGTACTAGTGGGTTTAAGTGTAGGATTGGCTCAGTGATGAAATTCAAAATTTTTCCCTACCAGTTCTGTGGGCTTGGCTTGCTTGGTGGGCATGGCTTGGTGGTCATGTGACTGGGTGGGCATGGCTGGATGGTCATGTGACTGGGTGGATGTGGCCAACTCAATGTTACTCATGTCAAGGGGTGCCTCGCCTGGCCCATCCCCTCCCAGCTATTCCTTGTCACACCTAGCCTCAACGTATCTATAGTTCTGTAAAAATGTTGTTCACCTTTTTTCAACTTTATTATCTACATACTATAGATGTACTTTCATGGACCATTGAAAGGAGGAAATGGCTCACATGCTTTGCCCAAGAGTGTGACAGGCAACGGGGTTTTAAGGGGCTGCCACAAAAAGAGGGGGGGGGCAATGTATTTTCCAAAGAAGCAGAGCAAGAAGCAATGGATGGAAACTGAACAAAGAGAAAAGCAAACTAAAACTAAGGAGAAACTTCCTGACAGTGAAAACAATTAACCAATGGAACTGCTTGTTTTCAGAAGTTCTGGGTGCTTGATCACTGGAGGTTTTTAAGAAAAGACTGGACAGTCATTTCTCTGAAATGGTATAGGGTCCCCTCCAAAGTCCTTTCTAAATGTTATTCTGACACCTTTCCTAGGCCCTCCACTCACATCCAAAATGTGGCTGTGATAGTTGATCAGAACTCCTCTGTTTTTTATGTACAACAGCTTTAGCATTTAGCTTTTCTATTAATACACAATCCTTGAAAGGGCTGTCCTGTAGGGACACTGCAATGTCTAATTCAGAGGTCCCCAACTTTTCTGGCACCAGGGACTGGTTTCATGGAAGACAATTTTACCATGGACCTCTGTGTGTGTCTGTGCATGTGTGTGTGTGTGGGTGTGTGTGTGAGAGAGAGAGGGGGGGGAGGGAGGAAGGGGAGACAAGTATACAGTGGGTGTTAAATAGTGGGTGAGCCACGCATGGAGTAAAATAAGTGTGGGATTGTTACTTAAGGCCTGCCACCAGATGATTTTGCTCCAGTCCAGATGAAAATCAGAATAAACAAACACACTAGAAAAAGCTTTCTTTTGCTCCAGGAGAAAGTCAGAATAAAGAACTGGAAAAGCCTTCACAGGAAGAGGCTTTTTTTGTTCTGCTCTGGAAGAAAATTAAAAGACACAGTGAAAACTTCACTGAAGTTTCTGCTTTTGCTTCAGAGGAAACCCCCAATCAAAGACCTGCAGAAGCAGAAAGACGTTGAATGACCACCTGTACTTTTCAATAGTTCAGCACAGTGATTCCCTTCCAGATTAGCCCTGTGACTTTCTGCAACATTTTAACAAGGTGATAATTGCTCTTGTCTGAACTCCCAGACATCTCATTTAAGCTACTTAAAGCTAGAGGAAGTAAAGATACCTAATACTTCTTCCTATTCATATTTTCCCCACAACAACACACTACCCCAAGTTGTATTGGTTCCATAAAATGATCCACAGGCAGTGGTGGGATTCAGCCAGTTCACACTGATTCAGGTGAACTGGTTGTTAAACTGCCCCCCATCCTCCGCTATGAAAGTGGATCTTGGGTGCTGTGCTGGGCTGCAATGGAGAAACAGGCAGTGGAGTAGCCGGCACGAAGGAAGGAGAAGGCTGCTTTTCCTCTTCTCCCTGCTCCTCCTCCTTCCCTCAGGCAGGCCACTCCATTTCCCATTTCTCCATTGCAGTGCACTGCCCAGGATCCACTTTCATAGCCGGGAGGTGGTTCACCCAACAACCGGTTCACACAGGGTCAGGCTGGCCATCACAGGAGGCTCATCCTGCATGTGCGGTGGAGCTGGAGAATGGGGATGGGCCATGCCTCCCATGACAGCCAACCTGACCCTGGGCAAACTGGTTGTTAAATTATTTGAATCCCACCACTGTCCACAGGAATCTATAAAATCTGTAGCTCCATCCCACCATGGCCTCCAGTGATTGAATGGGAGTCTAAAGGACTCATTCAGATTCTGAAACTCCACAAGGTTCCCAAGAAAGAACTCCTACTCATTGAATTATTTAAATATCACATTGATTGTTTGGCTCCCTTACTTGCAGATTTATTTACTCCTATAAATAATTCTGCCAAATTCCAGCTGGTTGGGAACTCTATTGTGGTCCCCATTTACAAAAATGGTGATAAGGATAATCCTTTAGATTGTAGATTCAATTAGTCTAATTGAAATCATAGCAAAATTATATGCCAAGTATCTTTTATACAAGAGTGAGGACTGGGTAATTGAAAAGGGCTTGCTACCTGGAGACCAAACTGCTTTTAGGTCTGGTTGTTTTATGTCATTTAAAAGAAAAATATGCAGTTAAAGGGAGCCAACTGATTACAACTTGTATAGATCTCGGTGCAGCATTTGATAATAAAAAAGAACCCAGGGACCTCCTGTGGAAGAAATCTATGGATTTGAACATAAAGCCTAGAGTCCTCTCTTTAATCAAATCATTATACTCAAACTCACGTCTAAGGGTAGTCACAGAAATGCTTAGTTCCCTAATAAAATTAGTACCAAAAAGGGAATTAGACAAGGATGTACAGTGGTTCCAGAGGTGGGTTTCAGCAGGTTCTGACCAGTTCTGGAGAACCAGTAGCAGAAATTTTGAGTAGTTTGGAGAACCGGTAAATACCACCTATGACTGGCCCCGCACCAATCTATTCTCTGCCTCCCGAGTCCCAGCCATCGGGAGGAAATGAGGATTTTGCAGTAACCTTCCCCTGGAGTTGGGTGGGAATGGAGATTTTACAGTACCCTTCCCCTGCCACGCCCACCAAGCCACGTCCACCAAGCCACACCCACAGAACTGATAGTAAAAATTTTTGAAACCCACCACTGAGTGGTTCCCATTTTGTTTAAACTATATTCTTTCTGATTGCAAATTATACTCTGCAGAAAGGGCTTACTTAGATTCTTGTTTAAGAACTAAAAAATGATGATGCAACTGGGAGAAACTGTCTTACTTTTTGCAAAGATTGTGTATCTCTAATAAGGCTGCACCAGTGGTGGAATTCAAATAATTTAACAACCGGTTCTCTGCCCTAATGATTTCTTCCAACAGCCAGTTCACAAAACTGCTCAGAAAGTTAACAACCGGTTCTCCCGAAGTGGTGCGAACTGGCTGAATCCCACCACTGGGCTGCACTCTTTATTTAAAGGCCAGTTGGAAGAGTACAGAATATTTAGATCAGACTTGGATTAACAGTAGGGACAATGACTGCTATGAACGTGTCTTATTGTTTTCTTTTTATCTATTTGTATTAGTTTTATATTTTTGATAGGGTCAAATGATTACATCCATAAAGTTTCTACTACTAAATTCTTCATGCAATTTATGAAATGAAAATAAAATGTAATCTACTGCTTACCATAAGTATAGGTTGGTTCATAGAATTTTGTACATCCTAGATTTGAAATAATTACATTTCAAATAATCCGAGGGGATCCTAACCAATAATTTATTTCACACTGGGGAAAGTATAGTTCTGCAGCAGCTCTTCTTCTAAGCGGTTCAGCTATGAACACTCTAAAGTTAAATTGGTGCTTACTCTTGATTAAGTATTTTTAATATCTGTGTTTTTTACATTTTCATTATTATTTTATCTTATTTTCTAATTTATTATTGGTAGCTATTTTGATCACTGATTCACCCACAATACTGTATAACCTTAGTATCCCTATATGGAAAATTACATCAACCAAACATTCATAGTTTTCATAAAATATAAATCCTACATTCCACTATGAATAGGGGAAAAAAACCTGCTTGAATTGGTGAGCTCTATCCAACTAAATCATTATCTGTGCTGATTTTCTGACACAGTTTCCATCCCAGTGATTAAGGATAATGAATTCTTATTCTCTTATTGTAAGCATTTCAATTTTATACGGGACATTTATTTTCAAATCATAATACCATTACAAAATTATTATTATTATTATTATTATTATCCAATAACAACAATAATGTAGTTTAATTCATGAAATCCAATTTTAACTAAGGATTAGCTATCCACTCTGCATCTCATTCATTTTAGCCATGTCATGCGGGGGAATTCATTGGAGAAAGTAATTATGTTGGAAAGAGTTAGTGGTAAAAGGAAACCGTGTTGCCAAAGAACACAACGGCTGGACATCATCAAATCTAACATCAGCAAGAGCATAGAAAAACTCAAAGAAGCAGTGCAAGATTGGAAGATGTGGAGAGACCTGGCCCATAAAATCACCAAGAGTTGGAGCCGGCTGAATGAATAACATCATCATTATTTCCCCCAAAGATTGCAGGATCATTTGTTGAAGTACAAAAGCAGCTGAAGCCAATTCAGGGGATAACTGAAATAGAAAAGACATTCTGAATTATTGAAGGCTAAAAAGGTTTTTTTTTTTACTACTAATTTGATGGCAAACATAAGGTTGTGAATATGACATTTCTTTCAATATATAAAAAAAGGTAAAGGTTCCTCTTGCACATATGTGCTAGTCGTTCCCAACTCTAGGGGGCGGTGCTCATCTCCATTTCAAAGCCAAAAAGCTGGCGCTTTCTACTTGCATTTTTTACATGCTTTCGAACTGCTAGGTTGGCAGAAGTTGGGACAAGTATCGGAACTCACCCCATTACGCGGCACTAGGGATTCAAACAATTGAACTGCCAACCTTTTGATCGACAAGCTCAGTGTCTTAGCCACTGAGCTACTGCGCCCCTTCAATATAAATAGTAGTTTACTAATGTTGGAAAACAAGCAATAGACAATCTGTCACAATGTTGGAGTTTACATTGTGAAGTCCTTGGTACTCTCTGAGCTTGGTTGTTTGCTTAGAGATCCATACTTTTGGTCAGCGGTGGGATTCAAGTAATTTAACAACTGGTTCTCTGCCCTAATGATTTCTTCCAATAACCAGTTTGCCAAACTGCTCAAAAAGTTAACAACCGGTTCTCCCAAAGTGGTGCGAACTGGCTGAATCCCACCACTGCTTTTGGTTGTATGTGTGGTTGCATCCATACTTTTGTGTGATTGTATCCATACTTCTGGTTTTATGTGTGGATCTTTTATAGTTTTTAGACATTGCATTGCAGTCTCTGCTATGAGACCTCACAGTGGTGATGCTATGGGTGTTCCTTTGATTTGTTGGTATGGTTTAAAATGACTAAAAGCATGGATCCAGTCTATCTGAATCTCAGATATGCAGTTCAACTGTTCCTTTTCATGTACTTTCAAAGAAGAGATTGATAAACTTTGTGGGAAGCCCCTCCCTCCTAGAAGAATGAAATATTTTGGGAAATATTAAAAAGGCAGAATATTATCTTTCCCCAAAGGGAGAAATGGAGAAACATGCTCTTAAAGACAGAAGGCAGACTCAGTCTTTCTTAATAGCCCCACCCCCTCCAGCAGATATTTTGTGCCCATTAAGAAAGACTGGGCCAGCCTATCTACAAAGCAAATCTTCAGCTCCAGGGTGATGGGATTAAGATGAACATAATAGGATTAACCCACAACCATTTAGCAGAAGACACAGAGCTCATTATATTGCATAATCTCCTAAAGGCATTTCAGATATTGCACAACCCCCATAGCAGCATCTCTAAAACTTGTAAAAATCCATGTAGTCATCAAACCAGTTGGTCAGATGCACAAACCCTGGTGGTTTTGTTCATCAATAAATAGACCTTTCTTTCCAATCAGCCTCCAGCCTCCATTTTATTTCCAGCATCTTTCTCCCAGCTTGGAACTGAACCAGATGGATATTCCTTCCAACAGCCTGAATGCTGAATGAGTTCAGTAGGCCTAGATTCAAGTGCATAAACTGCTTAACTTCAGTACCAGATTTTACTGTCTGATATAATATGTGCACATTTTCAGTTTTAATTAAAATAAAAGTTGAGATCTTCTAATTTCATAGAGATAACATTTCTAATGTTCCATTGCATTACAATGCTAAACAATCTGCATTTACAGCATATGAATTCCATTAGCATAATCACCACAAGGCACGTTAGCTTAGTTGTTTTCCAATGGAGCAGGGATTCCAAGAACATCTATCACAATTGTGAGTCACAAGTGGCTTTTTCGGGCTCGGTTTTCCTTGGATTCTTGTTTTTGTTTCTACCTACTGTTGTGTTGATCAGGTAGAAGTGCTCCAGGAGAAATGTTACATAGATTATGAATAGTCTTGAGGCAATGCTTAAGTGCAGTGGGATTAGAGATGTCAACCTATATTTAGAAACAATTACTGATAGAGGTAGCTTCGACTAAGAAGCAAAGTCTTGTACTAAAATAAGTAACCACCTAATTAAAATGCTTGAGGATCCTGAATTAAATTAAATTAAATTGCCCTTTCCTTCCTCTTTGCTCTCAACAGCATCTGACTCACAGGTCTTCAAGAAGTCCTTGAATTCCTGCTAGCTAGACTATTCATGGCTTCTTCCTACTTAGAGTCATCTTGGTTGATGTTTGGAATGTTTCCACAGCATTAGTGACATGTATTCTGTGTGACACTGCCTTTCCTTCTTTGTCTTCTTACAGTAATGGCAAAATGGATTTCTGAAGACAATGCAACTGTAAGGATTGGCTAACACGTATTCATGTTTAATAAGAGATGAATGAATATAGCACCAAATAATTCCAATCTGTGCATATTTATTTATTTATGAAAATTTATACGTCCACCCAACTCACTTTCAGTAACTCTTGGCAGTTTACAAAGATAAAAACCCTATATATATGTCTCTCTCTCTCTCTCTGTGTGTGTGTGTGTGTGTGCGTGTGTGTATGTTTTCTGAGGTTTTTGTGGGTGTTTGTATTTGGTCTTTGGTTATTCGGGTTTTCTCCCGCGTAAAATTGGAAGTGTCTTGCCGACGTTTCGATGAAGTCTCATTCATCATCTTCAGGCTGGTGTTTTTGGCTTCATGCTTCTAGGAGCAATGTGTGATCGCAGCTGTTTCTTCCTTTTAACTGCCAGTGGGGTGTGAACTGATTGGGTGGCAGCTTGGCTGTATTCTGATTGGGTGGAGGTGTGTTCTGATTGGTAGGGGTCTTGGCTGTGCTCTGATTGGATGGGGGGTTGGCTGTGCTCTGATTGGATGGGGGGTGTATTCTGTTTGGGTGGGGGCTTGGTTGTGCTCGGGTTAGTCTGAGTTGCAGGGGGATTTGAGCTGGTGAGCTGCGTTGCTGTTGTTTGGCTTCGCGTTCGTGGTCGTGCCACATCTTCATGGTGGGTGTCAGTTTGCTTCATGTATGGATTGGAGGGGTTTAAAGTGGCTAATGATGCAGCTGTGGTCTGGCTACTGGTTTGTGGTCGTGCCTCATCATCGGTGTGGGTTTGAGTTTGCTTTTTGCGTGGATGTGTGGTGGTGACATCCTGTGTGGTTTTTGTGAGTGTGGGTCTCATGTCATTCTTTGTGTTAGGGACTCGTTTATCAATAACGGTGGGTTTCCAAATGGCTGGAGGTAGGTGGGAGGTATCATCTTGTTTATTCATGCTGTGTGGGCGTTTTTCTATCTCGATGGCTTCTCTGATTATTCTGTTGTTAAAGTGTTCAGTTTTAACTGAACTGGCGATAGTTCTGGTCTTTTTAAAGTCAATTTCATGTCCTGTGACTTTAAGGTGTTGGACCAGGGAAGAAGTTGGTTCCTCTTTTCTGACTGAGTTCTTGTGTTCTTCAACCTGAATAACCAAAGACATACATACATACATACATACATACATACATACATACATACATACTCCATGCTCCTGATCATGCTGCATAGACAAACAAAAGAAACAAATGCAAATAACATTTCAGTTTGTTTCTTTTGCTAATTAAAGTTTTTTAACCTGTGTGAATATGCATGCATATTGAGTTTTTTTTTTTCAGTAGCATTTCCTTTTCTTTGCAAACTTACATATTTATTTAATTCACTTATTAAACTTATTTGCTACCTTACTTGGTGGCAGAAGAATATATAAAATAATAAAACAGTAAAAACTCAGTAACAGTAGTAACAATAATAATTTAGGTTTAAAAAGATGGGGAGGAAAGGAACAGATGCACATGAGGGGAAGTGGGATCTTGTCTTAATCCATCAGTCACCTCTAGTTTGATACACCCCATTGGGGCCCCAGGCCAACTGGCAGAACCAGGTCTTTATGTCTTTATGGAAGGTTAGAAGGGTGGGAGAGATCTCACATTGGGTGGTGGGTGGAGAATGCTCCAAAGGGCAGAAGCCACAGCAGAAAAGGCTATTCTCCTGGACCAGTCTTTTAAGTAATATCTGAAAACATTGTGAATCTTTGTGTGATTGAAGGGAAAGCATAAATAATGGTGTTGCTGAATATATCAGTGCATACTGACTTAAAAGATCTTATTTATTCTTTATTAACTTTAACTTTGTGTTCTTATTTATTTGTTTATTTACCATAGGGCAATTTTACAGAAAGCTGGGAGTCTACAGTATTGGAGACAATAGATATTTGGCACTTCAAGGTGCTTCTGGGTTGAGAGATATTAGTGACATCACTGTTGCCTAGGAGACATCCAATGAGGGCTCCCTTCTCTCCTTGCGTGAGTTCCACAGAAGTGATACCTATTCATCTAATCACATTTACACATGCCTTCATACTGCTAGGTGGACAGAAGCTGGAGCGAGTGGTGGGAATTCACCATGCAGTATTCAGGTCTCAAACCTGGACTTGCTGATCGACCAGTCTCCATTCTAACCACAGAGCCACTGCGCTACTGGTCTTGTGTCCTTACCCTGCAATACATTGCAGAAAGCACTAGGTAAGCATAAGAAAACCTTTAGCCTATCCCAGAACAAACAAAGGTAAGAAAACCAATGTCCTCAAAGGTCTTGAATTTTGGCCATATTTGCTGGGATTTAATGGAACTATTTTCTAAAATATCCAGAAGACACCCATTGCCTAACTCTTTACAAGCTGCTATTTTAATGGAAACTGAGTACTGAAAGACAGCAGTTGAGATATTGTTATTTGAGATGCAGTGCAGAATCGTAATTAAAATTTTGCTTCCAGCAAATTCTACAAGAACACTCTGAGGTTTTCATTATCACCTTCTCATTATTCTGTCTTCTTGTTTATATTTGTACTTGTGATGGCATTTGTCATGCAGAAGAGTTCTGGTAAAACACTCTTGTTCACAGCTATACACTACAAAGGAATTAAAATAATAAAGGAATTAGTTCTGATGATGCACCAAGAGCAGTTTTTATGACATGGTAGGCAACTATGACCCAATGGGTCATCCTTTCCAGAGGTATTTGCTTACCTAAACCAAGAAACAGAATGACCTTGGGTGGGCAAAAAAGTACTAGGAGCAGGAGTGATTTCTAACTTCATGCCGGATTCACCATTGACTTTGTGATAAGGACCTGCGGCTGCCACAAGTTTGTGAATACAACTGTTCTGAAGATCCTGGAAATTTTAATTCCACAGGAGTAATAGGTCCTGGAGTTTGGACACATTCTTTATGTTCGCCCTTTTGAATTATCTTGCTTTAAAAATTGTCTCTGTATGATGCAATGTTTAAACTAACAGTTACAAACAGACAGGAGAGTTTTAATATTATATAGATTATTTAAAGGTATTTCCCTGTAGCTATATCACACCCAATAATTATAGTTTACTTCTGTTTTGTTAAAATGGGAGCTTAGTGTACTTAGTATGATCAAACATCTTTGTGCACATGTGTGACTCAGATACTATGTGGTTGTTTATATGAATAAACAGAACAACATGATTCGAGAGAGCAATATTTTCTTTGTTCTCTGTTTGTTAACAGGGCTTCCAAATGAGCCAAAGCAACTTGCAACATTTAGAACCTGGCAGATTATTAAAGATGAAACATTCGCCAAATTGAGATGGTTATTATGCTTCTTTTCATGATTCAAAACCAGGGGTGGTATTCACTTACCTTCGCTACTGGTTTGCAAATGTGAGTGTACACGTGAGCTCGCTTCATTCGCATGCACCACTGTCACGCATGTGCAGAGCATCAAAAACAGGACATGATGATGTCCAGGTGGGTGGAGCCTCCCGCTGCCACCACTAATGGTTTGCCCAAACCGGATAGAACCAGTAGCTCAAAACATGGCATTTTCTCAATGCAATATTAATGAATCTCAAAACAAGCATTTGTTTATATTATTTTTCTCTTTTGATAGAGATAAAAATGTAAGGATTCTTTTTAAAACCAACTTTGTAAAGTATCAAAGAAAGATAAAATACAAAGTGACAATCACAGAAAAGATTTAAAAAGGGAGCGATCAAAGGAGAAAAAAGTAAAAAGTTAAAATTTAACTGGGCTTTCTTCTGTACAGAAACAAATATATAATAAAATAACCTCTTATTCTAAATTAAAACAAAATATTACCAACCATCAATTATACAAACTTCACAATCTAACCCTCCCCTTGCCTTCTGCCACCAGTATCCTCTCACCAACCAGTACGCTCCCATAGAGAGGGTCTTCTCAGGGTACCGTCGGCCAAACAATGTCGACTGGCGGCCCCCAGGGGGAGAGCCTTCTCTGTGCGGGCACCTACCATCTGGAATGAGCTCCCCCCAGAGATACGGAGGATCCCGGATTTGCGCACTTTCCGCCATGCCCTCAAAACATTCTTATTCCAGCAGGCTGGTCTAGCTTAACCTCCCTTTTAAATTGTTTTAAATTTGTTTTATAAATTGGGGTGTTTTAAATTTGTTCGTGGGCCAAAGTGTTTAATGTATTTTTAAATGGTTTTTTAACGTTTGTATTATGTGTATTTTATCTCTTGGCTGTTCACCGCCCTGAGTCCTTCGGGAGTAGGGTGGTATATAAATTTAATAAATAATAATAATAGTAATAATAATTTATTTATTTATTTATTTATTTATTTATTTATTTATTTATTTATTATTCAAACTTCTATACTGCCCTTCTCCTTTCGGACTCAGGGCGGTGAACAGCCAAAATAAAAACATTTATACATAACATTGCAATTAAAAATAGATTTAAAATAATTAATAAATTTGGCCCATAATTTAAAACTTGTCAATTTAAAATCAGTATCAAAATTTTAAAACCAACCCTAACCTATAGCAAAATAACCATTTATTCTAAGCATAAACCTTAGCAATATACTCTCTCACACCCCTCTCCCCCCTCTCTCTCCCTCCTTCCCTCTCCCCTCTCAATATAGTCATCTCCCCTCAAGGAAGGGAAAGAGAGGAGAAGGAGAAGAAGGATTGTTGTAAAATAAGGGAGATGGAACGGTAGAAGGGCTACCCCGAGTATACTCAAACTTGTTAGGATGAAGAATGAACTAATATGAAAGTTAAAAGAGAATATGTATGATTAACAATGGAGAAGATAAGATAATTAATTGAAATAATGTTAAGAAATTAGAATTTGAAGAGCGGATGGTGATACTGTTTATATAATAAGTATAGAAGGTATTAAGACAAGATAAAAAAGTAGGGAAAAAGAATATTTTGGCAGAAATTGAAATATGTAAATTGTATTTGGATGTGATAAGTTGTATAAGATATGATCCGGTCAATACTCTGTTCATAAAATATGTATGTGAAAGAAAAAATCAATAAAACTTGTTTTTTTAAAAAAAGAAATTGCCTCTAAGGAAAGTCAGAACTGTATTACGCTGATAAAAAGGCAGCTGGAAAAAAAAACCAACAACCAGTTTTAGTCTTACATTTTGTTCTTAAAGTGACTGTCCAGATGCTTCTGCATTTATCAGGCTGTAAAAAGTGATCTTTACTTTCAGATTTGCAAAATTCTGTTAATTAGCCTTACAATAAAGTAGAATTACAGTAATATATATATATTCCTCTCCCCTCTTGACTAATGCAGCGCTCTCTACATGGGACTGCCCCAAAAAGCATCAGGAAGTTCCAGTTGGTGCAAAATGCAGTGGCCCACATCATTTTGTGCAGACCCCAGTGTGCACATGTATCATCCTGTGGTGAAATCTAAAACCTGTTACTACCGGTTCTGTGGGCATGGCTTGGTGGGAGGGGGTAATGTGACTGGGTGGGCGTGGCCAATACTTTTTTACTTTTAAAACCATTTTTTACATGTAAAACCATGTAAAAAAAAGTGCTTTCAAAAGGCTCTGACAATCCCAGCTGAGTTGCCTGATCGTCAGAGGGTTTTTAAAAAAGCCTCTGCCAATCAGGCAACTCAGCTTGGATCATCAGAGCTTGGCTTGTCAGAGGCATTTAAAAGAAAAAAAGCCTCTGATGATCGCGCGGCTCAGCTGGGCATGGGGGGCGGGGGTAGGGATTTTTGCTGCTGGTTCTCCGAACTGCCCGCCGCCATCGCTACCTACTTGCCCGAGCTGATCCGAACCGGGAGCATTTCACTCCTGGTATCACCTCTCCTGCAAGAGCTTCATTGGTTGCGTATTTGCTTCCGGGGGCAATTCAAGGTGCTGGTTGTCACCTTTAAAGCTCTCCATGGCTTGAGAGACCATTTGTTTAAAATTATTGCTTTTAAAAGTTAAAAAAAAAAAAAAGACTTTGACGATCGCACGGCTCAGCTGTGATCGTCAGAGGCTTTTTTTTTTACCTTTTAAAAGCATTTTTTAACAATCTCTTCTGCAGAAGAGGTTGTAGAAAAAATGCTTTTAAAAGTAAAAAAAAAAAAGCCTCTGATGATCAGGCAACTCAGCTGGGATCGTCAGAGCCTTTTAAAAGCATTTTTTTTTACAACCTCTTTGGCTGAACAGGTTGTAGAAAAAAATCCTTTTAAAAGTAAAAAAAAGCCGCTATCGCTACCTGATCGGGTGATTGGGTCCGAATCGGGAGCATTTCACCCCTGGATGGACTGCATATAAAAGTTTTAGTCAACTTTGCCATTTCTGTCAGTTCTATTAACTGATTTCTATCTATTTAAATCTATCTAAGTGGATTTCATGATCCACTTTTCCATGAAGCACTGTTCATTTGTGGGAGTTTGTGCATTTTCCTACCTCCCTGCGTATAAATGTTTTGCCACTGATGTCATATACAAAATCAAAGTCCCGTGTTTTCTTTCAATTTGCTTAGCCATAATACCTAAAAGAAATGCCATCAGTTTTACATCCATTTTTAATATTTTCTGAATCAAGCCACACCTTCAGTCCCAATACCTCTTGCCATCCTTACATGTCCAACAAAGATTTTAAAAAAAAGCACCTTCACATTGATTACAATTGCAACACTTATTTGTTAGTCCTTTATACATTTTTGACAATTTCTGAGGAGTTAAATACCAGTGGTAAAAAGATTATAAAAAATTCTTTCAAATTATAATTCAATGAGAATTTCAATTAATTTTAGCACCGGTTTTAAAGATATTTTAATGTTGGTTCATTTCAATCTTTTAATTATTTTTCACTTCTTTCTATAATTCATAAGCCACCAAAGTCACCTTGTAGGGGAGATGGACGGCATAGAACTAAATAACTAAATAACTAAATTAAACAACTAAATAAAACAACTAAACAACTAAACAACTAAATAACCAAATAACTAAAAAACTAAAATAATTAGTCCACATATTGTCCTAGCATGATACTATATTTAAACATTTATGCCCATTTAATCACACAATCTTTAACACATATTCATCCTCCTGATTCATTTTCAATTACATATATACTTATGCAGGAAGACGTTCCTCATTAGTATGCAGATCACTTGATTGTAAAGATATAATTGTTCTGAAGGAAATTCCTTTCAGGTTTTGAGAAGAAGAAAAAAAATTACTCATTTTTAACAGAGCTGTAAGGATTCCTGACTGATAAAACAGCCACATGAGTGGAAGAGATGGCTTACCCATGTCCTGGGAGTCCAAGCAAGGACAGTCTGGAGGACTGTTGTCTCAATGCACTTGGAGACCACCAAATTGAGTCACAATGTGATAGTTTCCAAGTCACATTGAGGTCATCAGTTTGGCTTAACCTAGCAAGAGCTGTTAAGAAGAAGAAGGATGAAGGGAGAAACCATTTATTAGATCATCTTTGTAAAAGGGTAGGAAAAAATGAATTAATGAAGCACAGGTTCAGAGTTAGAATAAGATGTGAAATAATAAGAGCTCTGTTGAGACCGTAGAAACAGATTACTATAGATCAGGCCTGTTACACTGGCGGCCTACGGCTCGGATGCATCACGCGCAGGCCACGCCCACCCCACTCTGCAAAGACAAAAAAGTCACGATACGTCACAATATGTCACAATATGTCACGTGACATGATCAAGTTTGCCGTGCTGTAGTCAGGATTGAAATCCTGGCAGTGGGCAGAGTTTGATTGCATTCTAACCATGGCACCACCATGGATTAAAAGAAATTATTTTTTTTCTGGAGCATAAAATACAAATGCTTCTGCGCCAGGGGTGTCAAACTTGATTTCATTGAGGATTGCATCAGGGTTGTATTTGACCTTGGTGGGCCAGGGTGGGTGCTGCCAGTTCAATGTCACTTGTGTCATGGGGGTGCCTGTGGTGGCCTGAGTGCTCTGCCAGCAAAAACAGGCTCCTAAATTCTGTCTTCAAATGCAACAGCTTCCTGCAACCCTCTGCCAGTGAAAACAGAGCTCGGGAGGGTCGCCTGTGGCCCTCCCAAGCTCCATTTTTATGGGAAGAGGCACTGCGGGCCGATCCTTTGCTGTTTCCAGGGCAACCGCACGCGAGGCAGATATAAGCACCTTGTGGGCCGAATCCAGCCCCCGGACCTTGAGTTTGACACCCCTGTTCTATGCTGTCACAAATACTGTTCCATCCTGCCAGCAGGCTAGTGACTTCCCTGACTCATAGATAATTCCTGTCAACAGGAAGTACAGTGGGGAAAATTTTTATTGCTTGAGATAACTGTTGTCAGTTACCTATCTTTTATAACCAGTTCCAATTTCAGAATTACACGTTGTTATATGAGAGTCCAAAACAGAAGAATCTATTTTCCCATATATTTGAGATTTGGCAGTTTGCTGAAGATGGAGAACAAGTACTGCTAATGTTATATTAATAATAGTTCTCTCATTTTCCCACAAACTGGATAAAAACAATGGAAAAATGAAGAAGCAATTTGCACAAGACCATTGAAGGATTAAGATTAAAGTCACATTTTAAAAAGCTAAACCAATATAAAAGATTACATTTGATATTATGTGTTTTTGTTGTTGTAAAACAGGCAAGAGAATCAGGCCAGTATTAACTAAAGCTGTTTTGTGCATCTCTGAAAAATGAACTTCTTTTGATGAGTTTTAATATGGCGCCGTGGTGATGCACTGGCTAATTCTGCTGTCTGCCAGCAGTTCTCACCCGCTCAAAGTTTGAATTTGTTGAGGGAAGAAAAATGGTCAATTTTGCTGTGAAGTTCTTGTTGGAAGGCTTAGCCTGACCTCTGGTGGTCAACAATGACATCTATCCCTGCTCTTCGTCTTCAGGGCCTCACAGAATGGTAGAATTTACTCCAATCCTGTTTGATGCTGCAAATCATTACTCTAGGCCAGGGGTGTCAAACTCAAGGCCTGCGGGCTGGATGCGACCCACGGGGTGCTTAGATCTGGCCCATGGGGCTGTGGTGGAAACAGTGAAGGACCGGCCCGCAGTGCCTCTGCCAGCAAAAACTCTGTTTGTAGGAGGCTGTTGCAGGCCAAAACAGAGCTCACTGCGGCCGTTTTTGCTGGCAAAGCGATTGGGCCACCACAGGTGCCCGTGACATGAGTGATGTCGAGCAGGCCACACCCACTCTGGCAACGCCTACCCCAGCCCCCCAAGGTCAAACACAAGGGCCTGATGCAGCCCTCAATGAAATTGAGTTTGACATCCCTGCTCTAGACCATTCCCAAGCAAAGATTTTAGCCATCCTTTCAGCTGAGTTTCCTGTACTTTCAGTCAAAATCTTCAGTCTAACTGCATGAGACTTAGGCCTCCCTTTTGTAATAATATTTCAGATATTTATAGAGTGGGCCTCAGTGTATAGTCATGCCGGCCACATGACCATGGAAGCGTCTTCAGACAACATTGGCTCCTTCGATTAGGAAATAGAGATGAGCACTGCCCTCTAGAGTCAGACACAACTGGATTGGAGAAAATCTTTTTAAAAAATGAATCTTGCTTAATTTTCATCTTAAATTAAAACTATCCACTCAGTTCGATCCTTACAGAGTATACTTTCCAAACTGTTGGCCCTCAGAGTTGCTTTCATCTGGAGGTTGTGGATACTTCATTAATTCCATTATTATTGTGAATACATAAATGTCTGCATCCTTGCACTATCGCTGACATATACTGTAAGCAAGATAACCTTGGATTTGCTGGTAAACCGACATCTATATTTCAAGCCAAGTGCTGCCCCCAATAAAGCAGTTCTCCCTCTACCATACTGTATTTTCAGAAAGCATAAGGTGACTCTCTCTCATGTTTTAGGGAAAAATAATTCTTCCTGCCTCTTTCATTGCATGACTTGTGTTGCTTGTGGCAAGGTTGACGTTTTACAGAATACACATAATCCTCCTTGGGCTCTCCATAGAGATATGTTAGGAGAGGGATAATACTTCCTGCCACAATCCTTAAGCAACCAATCATTGTCCTGAAAATAATGTATGTTATATTTTGAATGGGCAGTGAGATTATTAACTCTGCTGCAAAAGCACAGGAAAATGAAAGCTGTTCCAGCAGCAGTTTATATATAAACATCATTTTCTCAGGGATGGAGGGAAGAAGATGGATGAGAATGTATGGATGTCCTAGATTTACTTGGTTGCACCTAGCTTTACTTGGTCCTAGATTTACTTGGTTGCACCTAGCTTTACTTGGTCCTAGATTTACTTGGTTGCACCTAGCTTCGGGGGGCGGGGATGAGGCAACCACTCCTTTCCTGCCATAGCCAGGTTGCAAATTCTGTATATGTCTCCCTTTTGGATTTTGGATTTGGCTGTTAGCCAAATTTTGGATTTGGCTGTTAGCATTGAAGGCCATATGCAGGAAGGCTAGTGGGCTTCCTTGTGCAGTTGGTTGATCATTGCCAGAATAAACTGTTGGACTAAATGAGCCAGGGATGTGATCCAGAAGGTCATTGTTTATGTTCTTATGCTTTCCCTCTGCAAGCCAGTATTTTGCTCTGAGGCCAAACTGTAGCAAGAATTGGAACTAGTAGGAATGGCACAGTATTCTGGCTGAGAGGCCTCCAAATTTTGTACCAAGCAACTTCAGTTAATAATCAACATTCCATGTAGTACCAATACAAGATCCTCTGATGGACTGGCACTGCATATCACATTTTCTTTCCATATATTTTAAAATGTTTTTGGTAGGATGAAAATAGCAATAGCGCTTAGACTTATGTACTGCTTTACAGTGTTTTACAGCCCTCTCTAAGCAGTTTACAGAGTCAGCCTATTGCCCCCAACAATCTGGGTCCTTATTTTATCAACCTTGGAAGGATGGAAGGCAGAGTTGTGAGAATCCTGTAAGCCTGTGAGAATCTAACTGCCAAACTTCTGGCAACTGGCAGAAGTAGCCTGCAGTACTGCATTCTAACTACTGTACCACCATGGCTCAAAAATCACCCTCCCCATTAAAAGCAATGAAAGTGCCAAATATCAGATTCCGTGCCTATCAATTCCCTGTGTGGATGGATGTGGGGCAGGGGTGAGTTCTACTTACCTTTAGTACTGGTTTGCAACGGGGCTGTGTGTGCACGCTTCTGTGCATGCAGAAGTGTCCTGATGACATCGGGGTCAGTGGGCGGAACCTCCCGCTGGTTTTACTACTGGTTCTATAGAACCGGTCGAAACTGGGGGCAACCCACCACTGATGTGGGTAAAGAAAAAGGATCAAAGACACATTGCTTTTTTTGCACAGGGTTAAAACTGCATGCCACAAATATTGGCTCAGCGACATATTGTTGTTGCCACATTTCTGATCAAAGGCAATTAGACAGTCTGTCTTTGTTTGTACAATAAGCATTAGAGGAAAAAGTAAGGCTCTTTAGTTCCTTTTTCAGTGCACTTAAACTTTTTAATGAGTATTTCTTGGTGATGTAACTCTTATATTAAACTGTTATCACAATTTAATGTGGCACAGAATTATAATGCCTTCATCTCTGTGATGATGACGATGATATGCACACTTGCAGTCAAGCAGAAAGCATTTCCCTATAATATTCTCCTGTAATATTCATATAGGAAGAGAGAGACACTTAATTTCAGTTAAGGATCAAACAAAAACCAAAACGTCTAATTCAGCTATTTCTAAACTGACAGTGGCTTGAATTCCACATGCTCTGCATAAAGTAATATGCCTTCCCTCCTGCTCCCAATGAGGACCAGGAAGATTTACAGAGATTAAATGTATCTTTGCAGGCAGAGCACAGTCATAATTTCATGCAAATTTTTCAGTATGCTGGAATCCTGCCTGTCAATATTCTGAACACCTGGCAAGATATTTCTAGATATCTCTTGGCATTCAGTTCTACTCGTATGGCCAGAAAAACAGCTCAAACCAGGCAGCAGATGGTTGCAAAGTTACTTCTGCACTCCGGCCCGTCTCCGTATGGATTATGTGGGATGGATATATACAGACACACACTAACAGTCTATGCATGTACACACACACACTGTATGTATGTACATATATGTATGTGTGAGAATAGATCTGTGGTGAAATCCACATTTTTTTTACTACTGGTTCTGTGGGCGTGGCTTGGTGGGCGTGGCAGGGGAAGGATACTGCAAAATCTCCATTCCCACCCCACTCTGGGGCCAGCCAAAGGTGGTATTTGCCGGTTCTCCTAACTACTCAAAATTTCCACTACTGGTTCTCCGAACTGCTCAAAATTTCTGCTACTGGTTTTCCAGAACCTGTCAGAACCTGCTGGATTTCACCCCTAGAATAGATCTATTTCACATAATCCATCAATAAATAGATAGATGATAGTAGGATAGCTAGCTATGCTTTTTCAATTTATTTTTCTTTTTTCTTTCTTACTCTGTGTTACTTTGTGTACCTTTTATTTTCTTGTTTATATCATCATCATCATTATCATCATCATCATCATTTTAGCCATTGTCTATCCACCATAGGATGAAGGCCTCTTCCATGTATATATGTATGTATGCATGTATGTACATACATACATATACATACACACATATAATTAAAACACAAAAAAATAGAAAGCAAGCAAGAAAAAAGAAAAATAAACTGGAAAAGCAAAAAGTGTGAGAATGAAAAGTGACAGAAAAGGAAAGAAGTATAAAGTAGCTTTTGATATCCTTCAGAGACATTATAAGTTCAAATATGTTTTAACTTTTTTGTCTAAAGTTATATTACTATTCTTTCTATAATTTATCCTCTCTAATTGTAACAAACATAAATCACAAATTTTTATGTAAAAAATTCATAGGAGGCTTCCAGTCAGCAATAAATATAGATGATTTCTCTAATCAATTAAATTAATTTACCCTTTTCAGCAAACTCTGTCAACTTTACCAACCATTTCCTCATAATGCGTAATATTGAATCTTTCTGGGTCGAAATTCTTAGCTCACTTTGTCATAGATTCTTTAGCTTGTTCTTCCTCTGTTTCAAATATCAACAAAAGTTTTTAGATATTAGCAATTTGATTTATATCACACCTTTATTATTTTTATAAATAACTCAAAATGATGAAGATATCCAACACACCATCCTTCTCCTATTTTCCCCATAACAGCAGTTACATGTTCACCATCAGTACACAACTGAATTTTAAATTCTTACTTTGGTTCACACCACCATACGTTTTTTAAAATCCATTTTACATGTTTTAGATAATGGCAAATGGGAGAACCATTGACAGCTATATCCTTCTAGTATTAATTGTTCTCTTGATTTGATTTTTAGATTCTTCTTGATAATTTGTTCATAAGGTAGAGAGATACCAACCATTTATCTGCCATTTATCTTCAAAATATCCTTCTTGAGCTGAGTTCTAGAAAGGTGTTTTTGGACACAATCTGAGTTTATATGTATTCTATAGTCTCAGTATGTCACATAAAATGATTTTTGAAGTCCACATTAACTTTTATCATATTATAAATACCCATGACATCCAAACCTCAATCAGTGACCTTCTAACAAAAAGTCTCTTATTTCTCAGCAACATCCATTCTTTCATCCAGATCAAACAAACAAATGCAATTTTAAATCTGACAAACCAAATCTTCCTCTTTCCTTTGCATCTTGTAACACTTCATATTCAACTCTTGTTTTTTCTCTTTGCCATATAAATTCAGATACATTTTTTCCATTGTTTAAATGGTACTTTGACAGGTATTGTCAAACACACACACACATACACACACCATTTTTGGCAAAACGTTGCTTTTATCGTAGAAACTCTCCCTAACAATGACAATTTTAATTTCTCCCATTTTAACATATCTTTCTTAATTTTGGTCCACATCTTAAGATAATTAATTTGAAATAACATACAGTTCATATTTGTCACAATAATATCCAAATATTTTACTTTCTTCTCAATCCTAAAACCAGTTTTCTCCATCAATTTCATTTGATCTTCTGGTTTTATATTTTCTCTTAATATCTTTGTCTTCTGATTATTAAACTTGAAACTTATTAATATACCAAACTCCTTTAATATTCCCATTAAGGCTCCTACTCCCTCTAGTGGATTTTCTAAAATAAACTTTCTTTTTTAACTTTCACTCTCATAATTATCTTATTTTTCCTATATCTCTATTCAATACCATAAGGGCCAAAATAAAGAAAAGGGGAGACAGTAGAGATCCTTGTCTTCTCTTTTTGAATCTCACAAGGTTTTGTTAGTTCTCCATTAATATTATATATGCTTTCTTTCTTTTTTGGGGGGGATTTTTTTTTTAAAAAGTACATCAACATCAATATATGAACAGTGCGGGATCTGGGTATCATTCATTTTGGGACAAGTAGCAATAATAATATTAATAATGTTTGTTACATTAATTAAACTTATGAAATCCTATTGTTAATATACATGTTTGTTTTAAAGTAGTTATTCAACATTTCAATGTTCCATTTTAATGCCAATCACAATATTATTTGAGTTTACATAGTAATGCCATTTTTCAGCCTCTAATCTTTCCCTCTAGTTATTGCTTTTGTTCTATAGTATAAAAATATGTGTGCTAATATTTCTCCTATTTCTTATTTCTTTCTCTGTTCTGGCTTCTAGTCAGGTCACCATTGCTAATCCTAGTGTTAATAACATGTTTATATTAAGATATAGTCCTTTATTATTTAATTATTCAATGTTTCAATGCATCATTCTAGTGCCAATCACCATATTATTTAAACATACTTAATGATCTCATCTTTCAACCTCTAATCTTTCCATCTACCTATTAATTTATATAAGAGTGAGTTATTTCTACCTCTATTCTAGTTTTTAACCAGACCATCATTATATTAAAAAAAGGAAAGGAAAAAATATTTCCTTTCTATCCATCATCTCTTGCCCATTTTAATACTTCAATTCTTATTCGTTTTTTAGCTTGCTTCCCATACTCCTTTCTTGGATCCTTGTCTCTATCTTACAACTGTATCTTCACTGTTCAGTCTAAATATTTCTCTCATCTCTATACTCTTATGCTGCCCGGCCTCAAGAGTATCTACCCAAGCCCCTATCTCCCTTTCAAAAACACCTTCCTGCTCATCCAATTCTATTTTTAAATCTCTTAAAGTACTTTCTCCTTGTTTATTTCATCAGCCATTATTATCTTTATTAACTTCTCCTTCTCATCTTCTTGCTTTATTTGCTGGCTTTTCTGTTCTGTCTTTTCCTCCATTTTTTTTGTTGTCTCCTCTCTTTCCTGGAATTTTTGGTCTTCATTCATTATCAGTTGCAAGGTATTTTCTATTTTCCCATTTATGCCATGCAATAAATTCTTTAAATCCCTGTAATTCTTTGTCATAGTGTCCTTAATGCTTTGGAACATCAACACCATTTCTTTTGAAATTTCACTTGTTTCCCCCTGATGGAGCATCTTGTCTTATTTCAGTAAGTCCTGCTCTTACTCAATAACAAACTCCAAAACTCCAAAAACAATATATTCAAGCCTAATGTTGCTCCTCAGAAAGTACAATAATCATAGTTCTTTATATTCCAGAATTATTCAATCAGTTCCATTTAGATAGTCAGGAATCTTTCCAAAAATCAGAAGTCACCTTACTTTACTTAAGAGTCTTCCTTATTCCCACAGTTGAGTCTCCAGTAATCATAAAGTAGATGATTATAGAACAGTACGTATCACCACAGTCCTCCAGGTGAATCTTGTTTATTTCTCTTATCAAAAACTTTCCTAGATTTGTAGGGGTTATGGTATATTTTTCATTAATCAGTAGGTGGTGCCCTCAGTTTAAGTTTCAGCATTGCTTCAAATGTAACAAGTTATTTAATCCAATTTTAATTCAATTTGTAGAGGCAAAGTCAATTATTCAAGTAGATAGTTCCAGCATTTTAAAATGCCTTTCCAAAACAATGCCTACCCAGTTTGAAAGTCCAATTTTCTATGTTTTAAAAAGTCTTTAGCTTTTCTCCCCTTAATTCCTTTCTTTTGGGTCTAGGATTTTTCTCTGTATAATTATTCGCTGCTTTAACAAACAGTTCTAAGAGTCTCTTTTCCTGGATTTTCTCTTTTTTTCCCTTTTAAAGTTAGGGTCTAAATAAAAAAGGAATCTTCTCATCCAGCTCCAGTCACTGCCTATCTATGCTACTCCTGCACTTTCTTTGTTGCCTCAGCTGTCCCAGCTTCATGGCAGCCATGATGGCTGCCTCTTCCCCTTGTTGTGGATAAGAGGGAAGAAGCCCTGGGTCGAGCAGAAGACTTGCAGCTCTCCATGATCTCAGGGCACCCCTCTTTTCTTCACCATCCCTACAAGGTGGCTTTAGCTCCTTTTGGAGCCCTCCAATGGGGAAAACGTGGTGTGGGAGCATGGAGACCCAGTCCTCCGATCTCGCCGTGACATCAGCCGGAAGTCCCGTGACATCAGCTGGAAGACTAATATTATATATGCTTTCTGAAAAACATGCTTACCCATGTAATAAAATTATCTCCAAGTTTCATATGTTCCAGATCTCTGAACAAACAAACAAAAAATTCAGTTCAAAAGGCCTTCTCTGAATCAATGCAGTTTTCATTATGTTGCTCCAAGTATTTCAGAATATTCAAAACATTTCTAATATTATCATTAGTTATCTTTTAGGTAAAAACCCATATTTATCTTCATGAACAAACTCCTGTAAAATTATTTTTAATCCTTCAGCAGAAATAAAGTAGCAAACAATTCAATTTAGAGATAGAGATATTGGTTGATAATTTCTTGTTGAAGTCAAATCCTGTCCCTCTTTAGAGTTATATTAGTTTCCTTCCAACTATCAGGAATTTTTCAATTCTGCTAAATAGTAGTCATTGTTCTGTTTTAAAGGTTGTAAAATCTCATCTTTAAAACATTTATGTGTCAGGGTTCTGACTGATGCCCTAATTAAACCATGAGCCTCAAGCCAAGTTTCAAAAGAAATCCAGTTATTTATTAGGAACTTCATGTTGGCACAAACCAAGTGAAGCCAATTCTGACCTCACTTAATTCATGCCTTGGCTCTCACCCTGTTTCCCACTCCCCCCAAGGTGTGTTATCAGTCACATTCCCCAATGAAGCAATTTTGTGGGTTGTAGAAGTCACTCCCTCCGGCCATGTGGTCTCTGTGACCCACAGATGACCTTGACGTTGCCAGCTGGAATGTGCTTTGTTTTGACTGAAATGCAAGTTCCTCAATGCAGCTGTGAGGCTGCATTTCTCATCCCCCTGCCTATGGCAACTCGAGAGCAGGTCAGGAATGCTTCACGAGTTGACATTCGGCTTCCCTCACTTCCTGAAGGTGACCTGTGCAAAGCAAAAGCACTTTGAGTACAGGTATAGATTTTAGGGGTGCGAGCCCCCCAGGCTTTGTTGGGTTGACTTCATGGAATTTAGCTATGAGGTGGTCAGCTTGGATGTTTCTGCTCTTTACCCAAGATGCCTCTGATAAGGGATAGCCCTTCCACTTGATTAGATATTGGAGCTGTCTCCTGTGCCACCTCGAGTCAAGGATACGTTACACTTCATAATGGGTTTGGTCCCCTATGACCACTGGGTCCAAGGGTTTCAGGGTTGACCGGACCACAGGTTTTAAGAGGCTGCTATGGAATACCAGGTGTATCTTCCCTAGCAGTCGGGGCAATTTTAATTGCACCATGACCGGGTTGATAATCTTCACTATGGGGAATGGTCCCAAGAACTTGGGTCTCAGCTTCTTGCTGGGGAGTTTTAACCTCAAGTATTTTGTGGACCTTTTCCCCCAGCTGGAATGGCATTCTGGAGCTCAGTGTTTGTCTGCCTGTTTCTTATAGGTCTGCAAAGCTTTAGTTAGTACTTTCTTGACATTTTCCTATGTTTCTTTTAGCGTTGACATTATGATGAGGCCAACAGCCCATCAGGACTAGATAGTTTTCCTGTTTTAATTTGTTTGATAGATTTACATAACTCCCTCATTGTTATAGGTCCATTCAACATTTGTATCTGATTGTTTGTAATCTTAGGTAAATTCTGTTTATGCAAATAGTCATCCATTTTTTTTCTAAAGCAATTTCTTTATCTTTATATAAAGTAGTATAGTACTGATGATACACTTTTCTCATATTCACACCACTTCTTATTAAATTATTCCCTTGTAACTTTTATTATCACTTCCTTTTCTTTTCTTTTTTCTTTTGCAATTTGTATGCCAACTGTCTCCTTGGTTTATTTGCAAGTTCAAATTTTCTTTGTTTTACATCATTCATCTTTAATTCCATCTCTCTTGCTCTTAACATAGATAATTGCCTCTGTAAAGGCTTAATTTGATGAGTTATAGCTTTCATCCCTCGAGATTTTTAAAATTTGTCTTCCTTTTTAAAAAATCTCATCCAAAATCATTTGCATTTTTTCTGCTGGATCGTCATTCTCAAACTGGTTAATGACGATAGAGTACATAAGAATATCTTTTGCCTAGAATATCTAATTACCAGAGAAAAATCCACTTTACCTCTGTTTTATTGTGTGGCTGAATAGCTCTAGATTTATTTTCTGAAGCCATGTTATATTATTATGAAAATTACTAGACTCTCATTTGCTACATGTAAACTGCAGTGAATGTTGTAGAGATGGCTATCATAAAGTTTTGGTTAGTCGGTAAATAGAGGAGATAATTAGCGAGTAGGACTGAGGATAGGTGTTTTTTAAAAGAGCAAACAAACACAAACTCTGCTTCCGGATTCATCATCCAAAGCTAATGGAACATTCGTGAATATAAAAAAGCATGTTCTAAGTAACAAAAAACAAATCAATACGTCTAATAGAAACCCACTAACCTGCAGTAAAGGCATCTTCTTTTGGTTTCTAGTCACCACTGAATACTTAAATGATGTTTGATGGCCATTGACTCAGTTGAGATGGAGTAGAGGCAAATATTTGTTTCCAAGATGAAGTGCTTTTCAAAAGATCACTAGTTTTTTTTCTTGTTATTCATTAAATCCCCTTCATAGCAATCGCAATAGCACTTATATACCGCTTTACAGTACTTTACAGCCCCCTCTAAGCGGTTTACAGAGTCAGCCTATTGCCCCTAACAATCTGGGTCCTCATTTTACCCACCTCAGAAGGATGGAAGGCTGAGTCAACCTTCAGCCTGGTGAACCCCTGGCAGTCAGCAGAATTAGCCTGCAATACAGCATTCTAACCACTGTGCCACCACAACAGTTTATACCAGGGGTGAAATGTAAAATTTGTTACTACCGGTTCTGTGGGCGTGACTTGGTGGAGGGGTGGTAATGTGACTGGGTGGGCGTGGCCAACTTTTTTTTTTTAACTTTTCAAAGCATTTTTTCTAATGCTTTGAAAAGCCTCTGCCGATCAGGCAACTCAGCTGAGATCGTCAGAGAGGCTTTTAAAAAAATGCCTCTCTGACTATCAGGCAACTCAGCTGGGATTGTCAGAGAGGCTTTTTTAAAAATGCTTTGAAAAGCCTCTCTGACGATCAGGCAACTCAGCTGGGATCGTCAGAGACTTTTCAAAGCATTTTTTTTACCCCCTCTTTTCAGCCAAGAGGTTGCAGAAAAAAATGCTTTGAAAAACCTCTGACGATCCCGGTTGAGCCGTGCGATCATCAGAGGCTTTTTTTTTTTACTTTTAAAAGCATTTTTTTCGTTGGAAGAGGTTGTAGAAAAAATGCTTTTAAAAGCAAAAAAAAAAAGAGCCTCTGATGATCGTGCGGCTCAGCTGGGCATGGGGGGGGGGGCGCGCGCAGGGATTTTTGCTACCAGTTCTCTGAACCACCTGCCACCATCACTACCGGATCGGGCGATCCGGTCCGAACCAGGAGCATTTCACTCCTGGTTTATACTATTGCTACAATTAATTCTTCCCTATTAAGCAAAAACACAAATGAAAGAGGAACAATTCCAAGGCACATTTTGATGAAGATTCTCAGGTTTAGTTCTTATATTTCTCAAATGCTATTTCTCACTGAACATGAACACATGATACATTAACACTTATTTTCCTTATCTTCAAAATCCTGTCCATAGGCAGTGCTAGAAATACCTTTGATAATCCATAGCTGGCTACAGGTGCAAGTTGCAACAATATATTACAGCAAGTAGTATTCTTATTTAGATCCCAGATTTTGGTTAAGTAATAACTATTCAATTGAGAGTGCAGAATACATTAACATGCGGGCATGTGCCCCTGGATTAGTGTTGATATTAGTGCAATATTTTTGCTTTGAGTGGACGAGTGTAGTTATATAGTCTCATGATTTACAGAGCTGAGATGCAGCCAACTGAAGGTAAAGCCAAAGTCAATAGTGCATAGTGTTTGCAGCATCGAGTAATGTGTATTCTCTTTCTCTAGATTGATAGAATTATGTGTCATCACATTGGTGCTGACTCTTAGTGAGCACATAGGCAGATGTTTTCCAGGATCATCTTTTCCCAGCCTGATCTTTTAGATCCAACTAGCAAATCCATCACCACTGTAACTGAGTTTTCCTCTTTCTTTCCACCTTCTCCAAGCTTATAGTCCTCTCTGCAGAATTAAAAAGTCTTTGCTTATTGTTTCCAATATATTATTTCATATAAAATTAGTTTGAGGGCCACATATAGCTTCCAAACGACATCTTTCCCATCATGTTTTCATTACAGCTGAGATGTAGGCACGACTAGTTTATGGTCTCAAAGTAGCACAATTTATGCATCATAATAATAATGTCTGAGATAACATTCCCAATCTGGAAAGTGTATATAAATCCACTTTTTGTTATGTAACAGCAAGCCAGTTGAGAAAAAAAAAATCCCCTAAGATCTGAAACTGGGGCACACCCATATGCCCATGTAAAAAAAGTCTGTAGAAACAAGGCTATATGCAAGCTTTGATTGTGATTCCGAAAGACAGGGAATTGCTGCCGAGTCCATTAGATGGCTCTGTTGCTTTTCTTTTCTTAAGATGCCATGTTTTCCACACTGGCATGAAGTTGCTGCTTTGATCTGTAATCCATTTCTAAATTTAGTTACAACAGCCAACATAGAGTTTTCATAACAGTTGTTGCCGGCAGAATGCCATTTGTTGATTGGGACATTATCTTTTTATTATTAACCATGGAGTGACTATATCAATCAGTTACAATGTTGGAGCTACAGCTCAGCTTGTTGATTGGTTTCTTTAGTTGTTGTTTGTTTGACTGTAATTAAAGACGGCTCGAGAAAGTACAAGGCAGCACTTAGCCAAACTGAAATTTTCTCCAATTGATTTCAGTGGAAGAGAGAGTTCAGGACTTGGGCAGAATCTTAACCCTGTCTAGATGAGGCTTCAGATTGTAGCTTCTCAGCTCGTTCTTCCTACTTCGATATGATTAATTTTTTTTATAGGTTTCACTTGACATTTGGACTGTTCTTCTTTAATTATGACTCTAGGAAGTACAGTTTTTGCAGCATTATTGCACTACCTATGAGAAACCATGCAAATCACACTTTATTAGGGCATCTCAAATTTTTCAATTTTCAATTTC